TGATGTCTGAATCAAAGTTGTAGCCAGATGGGTTAGCTTTCCAACGCAATTTGAATCGCCTCAATCGAACATCGGAATACAAAGTTATGATAAAAACACTGAAAGAAGGTGCAGTTGCCTGTTTAAAACAAAAAATTCCGTTACATAGTCCGTTATATTGAGACATATTTTTGGCATAGAAAGTGATCGAATTGGAGAATGATGTCTGAATCAAAGTTATAGCCAGATGGGTTAGCTTTCCAATGCATTTTTAATCGCCTCAATCGAACATCCAAATACAAAGTTATGATTAAAACACTGAAAGAAGGTGCAACTGCCCGTTTAAAACAAGAAATTCCGTTACATAATCCGTTAAAACAACAAATTCCATTAGTTTTTCCGTTAAACCAACAAATTCCGTTAAATAGGCACTTTTTATATATAGAAAGATATAAACATGTTCGAAAAGTATCTGTAAACAATTCAAATTATAAATAAATAAAAATAAATGATGAATAAATCAGTAATATGTGTGAATCATTCGAAATGTGTGGATAAAAAATGATTTCAGTATTTATACAGATTATATCAAATTTGGGGTTAGTAAAAATTAAGTTTTAATTCAATTAAAATTAGGACATGGGTTTTGAAAAGCCAAAAGGAGGTTTTGAAATCAAATGTGCTTCGTCTAATTCCAGAATAGAAAACTCCATTAAAAATAAGTTTTTAAACAAGAATTAAAATAATTTTCTCTAAAAACTCTTTTATAAAAAATAAAAGTAAAAGAAAAAGTCAAGTCAATTGACCCATAATAAGTTTCAATAAAATTGTTTAATTTATTGAGTATTAAATCAAATTATCAAACAAAAAATGAAGAAATGACACGTAAATAAAAGAATAATAAATAAGTAGATCACATTATCCAAAGCAGTGGGATATGGTGCCAGATGGCAGCATCACATTGGTTGGAGAGATAACATGCTTTTCTTAGGTTGATCATTGTCCAGTAAAAAGATATCCCATTAGTTTGAAATATTGCATTATTCATTAATAAACTCAAATTTGGTTGCAGCATAGAATTGAGTGAGTAGAGATAATATGGCTACAAGCAGTATGGCATCTGGATTTGTGGTGGCACCAAATTTCACAGCAAATACAATAAGTGCACCCAAGAGTGGTATGCTATTCTTTTCTTCCAAGAACAACAACAATTCAAGGCTGGTTGTGAAGGCTGCCGAAGAGGCGGCAGCACCGGCAGCCACCACTGATCCGCCAGCGGCCGAAGGTGCAAAAGCAGCCAAGCCACCTCCGATTGGACCCAAGAGGGGCGCAAAGGTGAGTGATAACTTCCCTCGTATTTAGTGTACATGGTTGACACACTCAACTCGACATGATAAGATTAGATTAAAGAAAAAAAGGGCATAGTAATGGAAAAAGGTAAATGAGATCCATTTACGTTGTTCTAGTTGATAAGAAGGTGTGTACTTATATACTCCAAAAAGGGTTTATTGTTTAGCACTGAAACATCGTTAAGCAATCAAATTTATCCAAGTGAATTGCTGTAAGAAGGGCAGAATATTGAGTTGATATTGTTGGCATATCAGGTGAGAATTCTCAGGAAGGAGTCCTACTGGTACAAGGGGGTTGGCTCAGTTGTTGCAGTTGACCAGGTGAATATAATAAACACATACACACAGTGGCATATTTCTGTAAATTATGTCCAAATTTGATATTCAAACATGTATTCAATACATATGCAGGATCCCAAGACTAGGTACCCGGTTGTTGTGCGGTTTAACAAAGTGAATTACGCGAATGTATCGACAAACAACTACGCATTGGACGAAATCCAGGAAGTCGAATGAGGACAATCCTATGTTGTTATTAATGTAGAACTACTGTCCTGTTGAATATTTGGCATCTATTTATACAAGAGCTTGCTTGCTTGTGTATGAATATGGGTATATATCATGCTTCTTCTAGACCTTAATTCTATTGCAGCTGCATCATGGGCATGTTTGGCTTAGCTCTACAAAACGAATACTCGTATCGGGGACAAAAGGATTTTCCATACACATTTTAATTGGACCCCAACTATGACTGACTATGAGAGAGATGGCTAGATCATATTTGGTTAAGCTTAAAAGTTAAATTTACTTGCAAGCAAATTTAACTTTTAAGCTTAACCAAATATGATCTAGCCATCTCTCTCATAGTCAGTCATAGTTGTGATAGCATAAAAGCAAGTAAGGCTTATTCGTTCACTTTGTAAGTAGCACTATATCAGCCATGACAAGCAGTTTCCAGAGTCAGAAGTACATGAATTTGAGAAATTAAGAAAAGTACGATTTGAGCAATCTCCAGTACTTGAGAAATGAATTCAACAACAAAACGAATCTAGTCTTAATACAAGCAAAACACACATCCAGATACCATTTAAAAAACCAGGAAGTACCGTTAAACTGACAGAAATCTAGGACAGTATCTCGTCAGGAATCGACAGTGCAAGAACTGAGGATCCCTCCAAGGGTATTAAGCCGAGCCTAACTCCCTATCTTTTTGGCACCAGCTTCTGAAAGCAAAGCTTCAAGTTCTCCTTCCTGGTGTAGTTTGACAGTATCTGCATCAAGAAACAAGCACTTTTAAATAATTTTGCATGCCGTGAAAAATTAAGGGTCTAATCAGTTGAAAGATGTACTCACACACTATGAGCCGTCCATACTATTCTTTAAAATAAAATAAAATTGCAGTAAAATACCATAATTCGTCCAAAATTTTGAAATAAGTATATTCAAAATACATGGCTTCAAGGAAACAGATAGAATATTGCACAAATCAGAAGCAAATAGGAAGAAAATGAAAGAAAGAATTAAGTCACAGAACCAATCGAATTAAAAATGAAAGTAACAATTGCAGCACTATTTTTCAAACTATAAAGTATCATGCGGAGGGTATTATCTATAAAGTATCAGAAATTCACTACTACTTTTTATCGGAAGTGTGATGATTGATGACACTATTTTGATAGAATAAATAATATCTACATTCTACCCTTTGACGCTAATACTATTACACTAAGTGGGGTCGTTGACATTTCTTTCTTCATTCAAGAGACGAGCTCAAATATTTTGCCACAAACTCATAAAGGACAGGATTGACAAAAGTACCTGTACAACCACCAATGTGCCTTCCCCCTGATCATGAAAACAAAAGTTAGTAGAGAGACTCTAACATTAACAACTAACTGATAAAATGAAATAAACAAAATTATGCACATTTAAGATTTGGAATCCTAATTTGAACTGACAATATGACAAATTTTAATCAGGAAAGTTCCACCATTTGTCCTTAACCTATTTTCCGAGTAACGAGGTGGTTCCAAACCTTTAGAAAGAAGCAAGATGATCCCCAACTTGCATTGATTCTGCAAATATAACGAAATGTCGAGGACTAACTTGTTTGCATATAAAGGTTGGGGACCAATGGTGCAATGTTCCCATTTTAAGCAGCAGCTGGATATTTATACTCCATTATCAATAAATATAGTGTTCTATAATTGCTCACATGCTTCATTTCAGGTTCATTGCATTCTCATATAAAACAAGATGACGACTTATGCATAACAACACAAATTTCTGGTGCATATTAACGTATACTCATGTGACTTGTTTCTATATTCTAAGTAAGACATGATCAATATAAGTAGGAAGACTGTACAGCATTTCCAAAATTTGTTACCTATAAACACATTGGGAACAGTATGTTGACCAGTAAGCTTTTCAAGTTTCTTCTGCAGTTGCGGACCTTCAGAACCTGAAAATGAGAAAACTTCTCACAAGATTTGTCCAATCAATTCAAGGATGAAAGTTTGTCCAAGAATAATGCATATTAAGGCTCACTCCTGATTGTAACTTCATAATGAGAACTAAACTGCTGGAATTTTTTGTCAACGTCTTTCTCATTTACGAATCAAAGTGTAGGGGATAAGACAGTAGAAAAATCAGAACTTAGTAAAACAGACATTCAAGAAAAAATGGTGATGCAGTTCACTATGAGCAACCACTTTAGGAATTTTCATATGAAGCAATAGATGCTTGAGTAAGTTAGGGATGGTCTTACCGAATTGAGGTTTATTATAAGAATGCACACAAATTTTTCTTCAAAACAAGCAGGCCACTAAAAATATTATAGTCAATTACAATGAATTCATCAACTCCCTGTCATCCAGTTACTACAAGGAACTATTACAGCACAAACAATTCCAGAAATTTAAGTATACAAATAGAACAGTGACGTATGAATGGGCTGGCTTAAACTTAATACAGATAGCAGCCTAAAATATTGGCCAAACTTCTTTACAACTGGAGGTCTTTCAGAAATAATTTTTTTTCTAAGCCAAAATTTTGTTAGCAAATGCACCAAACAAGTGGCGTAAACCCATATAATAGAAATTAAAGACAACAGGATTAACCAGACTCAGTATGCCACTCCGTGCACAAGCCCATTTATGAAAAGCTATGAAGGTTGTCGCAACTGCATGGAACAATTTCTAATTCCCACTTCATCAGAGTTCCATTCCTTCCCATCATGTCAATATTCGTTCTTTCCATGTCCATGTTCTCGTCATTGTGATTGTTACATCCTTTTGGGAAATCTAAGAGTAAAACCTCGTCCCCTCCTCTTCATTTAAAGACACACCCAGGAACCCGCAAAACTTCTTATTTCCTCCCATTTAAAACAAATTCCTCAAATCTTTGAAGCCAAACCCGAGCATTTCAAATCAACATTTAGGGTCAGGCGCATTATCACTCTTGGACTCCTGTGTACTGCCCCAAATGCCTTGTAGACTTGAAGATTCGCCTGAAGAATTGCAAGTTTGTTTGCTCTTCATCCGACTACCAATTGTGCGCTTGTTACTTGATGACCCCATATAACTACAAGTGCAATGCACTATACTTTTCTTCAGCCTCTCCAATTCTCCATATTCCCAGTGGCAGCACTTGTTTCGCTGGCATAAAAAGTCCTCATCTCGTCCACAAATCAAATGTCAGTTGCCACAATGGGGTTGACAACTTTGATGACCGACTGTACTCCTAAAGGCATTAACAGGTCATTCGAAGTTTTACTGCAGTTCATTGATTCCCATATAGCACATGGTTATCTCCTCTGAGTTTCACTTTGAGAGGTTGTAAAATTTTCAAGGGTCTTTTTGTCTTCACTGGCTTTAGCTCCATTTCTTCTAGTGAAAACCTCATAAAGATTTCTAGCATTTTTGGAGTCAAAACGTGCTACAATGTCAGAATAATTGACATAATGCCACATGAACTCCATCATTGAACTATTTAAAACAGTCATCTTTTCCATCAAATCACCTCCCGCCACCTATGATTTTAACACTACTTCTGGCATTATTCTCCTGGAAAGGTGGTTTAACCCTTTGGATTCTGAAATTATCTTAACTATGTTACAGCCCGTCTATTCTATGTTCTACTCCATTGCCTTGTTCTCCATCTAATATGACATGCTTGTTACACTTAATAATTTTGTTTTTGGGACCTTTTCCTACTCTGAATTTGAGCGCAACTAATGGTATCTCCTAATTTCACATGGGAATTCATCATTGAACTATTTCTCATCTTTTCTGGAAAGGTGGTTTAACCCTTTGGAGTCTGAAATTGTCTTTACTATGTTATAGCCCACATATTCTATTTCTACCCATTGCCTCGTTCTCCATCTAATATGACAGGCTTGTTACACTTAATAATTTTATTTCGGGGACCTTCTCCTACCCTGAATTTGAGCGCAACTAATGGTATCTCCTATATCTTCAAAAAGACACCTATACTAATTTTTCATATGAAATTACTGTTGTTCACATATTTTATAATAGAATTTAGATGTTGGCTTACCAGTAGACCTGAAAACATCATTGATTTCTTAACCTATAGTACACCTCAAGAAGAAGACAGATTTGAATTCTCAAATAAAATCAGTCTTCAATGGATGCTTACTATTTTTCCAAGAAAATAAAATAGTCCTTCAGGAACCTCAGGGAAATCGAAGTCTGACAAGTTTAAGGCATCAGTGGCAAAACAAACTTACATCAACTATGTAGATAAATAAGTGGTTCGAGATTGATTGCTAGACTTGAGCCGCTGAGCACTCATTTCTCCAAGATCATCAACAATTAATGCAGAAACAAGGTAGTAACATTTGTAATGAAATAAAATTGCTATATCTTCATTTCCAATAACGCAGATCAGTAAAATGGTCTAAGGACATTTAGTCACTTTCTAGTAACCAGAAATTTAGCAACTAATATCAGATATTGAAATATGAAGATATTGTCAAATATACTCAATGATACTCAGTAAGACTCGATGACTCTCAATGTGAGAGGTTCTCTCATTAGATAGAACCAAAATCACAAATAAATATAGAAGCTATCAATTACAATATTAATTAATGGTAACCTATTAAATATGGTAGCTTTCCTTATATTCCACCAACATCCCCTCAAACTGATGCTAGTAATCATGAACTGGCGACGATTGCAATGCTCGTGCCCACGAAGAAGTGACCCAAATCACAATAACCATTTACAAAAAATAGTGACCGCGAGAGACCCAAGAACAAAAATAGTGCAGAAATGGCCAAGAATCACTCCAAAACTAATCCAAGAACACTCCAAAGCCAATCTAGAGAGCTCACACCCCAAGAAAAATTTCCAAAAGAAATTCACGAAGTGCGCCGACCACACTCAATGAGCTCTGTCAGTCGGGAGAATTTAGCCGAACACATAATTCGTGTTCTGACAAAAGCTGGAAAGGCCAATACACCAGCCAAAAATCCAACAACATATCGTTGGCCAAGATGCTATAATTGGAAGAAATCCCAATAACCCATTTCACGCAGCTCATCTTGGCCCAAGTCACCACAACCCATTACCAAGCCCAATTCCAACCCTTCACCGTCTTCCTCCACCTACCACAACATTAGGGGTCCCTACCGCCGGCTGAACTCTCTCCAACAAATCATACAATCATCTACCTCCTCATCTCTTTGTCCGCTAGCCGGTGGAGACGGGTTGTTGACCGGTGTAGTCGAGGTTGCTGTTGGCTGGGAATTCGGATTGACAGTGGAAAGCACAGATGAAGTAGTGGCTCCAAGAGGTTCAAAGAAGGATTGAATCACTTCCAGTGTTGAAGGTTGCAAGAGGTGCTGAGGTTGTGCATGTTTGATAATCTGGTTTCGGACACTTGCAGGACATTATGCAATTGAGGGTTGTAGATAAAAACTATGGAGTCTCTAACTTGGCAGGTATTGGTAGCAGCCCAGGTTCCGTAATCAGTTCCAAAAGCGTTCCAAGCCACAGAATCACCAACCTGATATACCACAGCCATGGATGTCCGAAATAGAGCCAATGCCATCATCAACAAGAAAAACACCAATGCCTTAGCAGAGAAAGACATGGCTTAATCACAAAAAAGGGCAAAATTTGCTAAAGTAAGATGGGAGGAGCTAAACCAAGAAAACTATCAGAATACCAAGAAGACTTGACGGGTGAAAAAATCCAACCAAGAAAATGAAAGAAAATCTAAGGAACCAATATTCATTAACGGTAACCTACTAAATATGGTAGCTTTCCTTATATTCCATATCACCTATTAAATACGTACACTCTCCTAACTCTTTCGAGAAAGTTGCATACTTAGTAATAAAAACCTTTGCCCCGTACAAGAACTAGCCATGTGAATCTGAGCAACAAGCAACAATTACATTGCTTTCTATTGCAGCAATATTTTGTTTTCAATCAGCAAATCCTTTGAACCATTTAAAAGATTTTATGCATATGAAGGATCGACATAATTATAGAACACACACCACATCCAATCAAATGTATGGAATCTTGAATCTTCCATGAGAATCGGGTGCACAAATATAATCAGAAACGATCAAAACATACCCAATTCGTCCAATTCAATAACACGCGGCTCCACACCAAGGCTCTTGAATAAATATTTAACCTCAGAAGAGTACCTTCAGCACAAAATTCAAGAAGTCCCTTTTCAAATTTCTTCAAGAAACGATTAAAACTTACGGAGAGAGAGAGAGAGAGATAGAGACTGCTTGCACTACTTACGAACACCAAGTTTTGGAGTAAACCACGACAGGGTTTTCACTAACAGTCTTCTTCACAGTGTCTTCCAATCCTGAATCGGACGACATCGCCCGAATCTTTGTGTGCCCCACATTTCCTGTTCTTGCTATTAAATTTCCGTTGAATTTGATGCTATTTTTGCTATATCTGGACAGATTTGAACTGCAAATGGGGATGTGAGAGAGTGCAGAAATTTGGTTCCTGTTAAGAGGAGTTGTAGAGAGAGAAAGAGAGTTAAAGGCTCGAACACTGAGAGTCATTGACGCCATTCTCCACCTGAAATTTCAGCTTCCTTTCATCGATCGCTAAACTCCCGATCTTTCCTATGGGTTTTGTATTCTGGCGGAGCCTCACCGGAATCAGCCCACAAGTCGTGTGGGCATGATCGTGGGTCAGGGCCCTATAATTTTAGGCCCAATACAAATTTGCATCCTTGACGCCCCCATCTGCCATGTCCTATCCTACCCTACCCTACCCTACCCTTGGTGAAAAAGGTAAATCGCATGTTATGCATTCAAGGGTATATTATGGAAAGCTGCTTGTACACTTGCAATTACCCAATTGTCAAATCCATATTTCAAGATTCGAACCCTTAACGTTGCAGTCTCAAGTAAAGTTGGAGTTTTTTCACCTTCCCCTTTTATCACTTGGAGATGTGCTCTGGGGGCAATCCGAAGAGAGGAAATTACACCTACACCTAGTGTTTAAAATACCATTTTCATAAACCAGGTATCTAGTTTCATAATACAAAAATCAAGTTTTAATTAAAGATTTTAATTATTAATTATACAATTTTCATCCTCAATTTTTCCTCCACCTTCTCTATTCTTATCGTCGCTCTCTCTGTTTTTTCTTATCTCCGTCTCTCCACCCCCAATCACCCACATTCCTTCCAAACCCGTTATCGGGTCTTCAGGTAGTTATGCTACTGCGAATTATAGATCTGAAGTTGGTGGATTGCGGATTTGAAGTCGTGTTACACGGATTGTGGATTTTTAATCACGATGATTAGCGGAGATTGTGGATCTGAAGGTGGTGGCGGTGGTGGTTGTTTTTGTGCAGTTGTTGGTGGAGTTGTGCGTGCTGTTGTGTGTGTGTGCTGATCTGTGTGTTTTGTGTGTTATGTATTGTTTTGGCGATGGTGGCGATGGCTACCGGTGGTGGTAATGGTTGTTTATGCGGTTGCGGGTGGTGGAGGTGGGCGATCTGTGGGTATGTGTGTTGATCTATGTGTGTTCTGTGATGTTTTGGCGGTGGTGGGAACGGAGGTCACTAGTGGTGTGGTGGAGGTGGAGGTGGAGGTGTGCGTTGGGGTGCAATGATGGTGTTTGACAGCGATGTTGTATGCGGTGTCGTGACAATGTTCGTGAGTGGGATGAGATGGACATGAGTGTGACCAATTATTTAGTTGATTGTGACCACTAATCGGTTAATTTTTTACAAATTAATGTGTGACCTAAAAATTGTGACAGTGACTCACATTTTATTAAGTTATAATTAAGTTGTGACCAATAAAAGTAATCTGTGATCTATAATTTGATGTTTTGTGATCATAAAATAACTTGTGTGACTTATAAATTTTGTGATTTCTGACTGATGAACAAATTGTGACTTTTAATTTTTAATTTGTGACCGATGAACGAACTGTAACCTATAAATTTTTTGAATTGTGGACAAATTGCATAGATCTGTGACTTTTATATATTTATTAATAAAATATATAATTAATTAATTAAATTATAAATAAATTTTAATGAAAACCTGATTTTTGAAATTTAAAACCTCAAACCTTAATTTTGAAATGGTGATACTTAAATACCTTATTTATGTATTGTTCCCTTTAAAATATTCGGGATTGGGCTCGATTTGAAATAGATTTAAATTTGTTTTATAAC